GCAGTGGCCCCAGCAGCTGTGGCCACCCCAGCATCTGGCTGTGCTTCATTACCAAGGCTGGGATGTATGGCTGCCCCAGATGCATCCCCTTCCCCACCTTCCAGCTCACCCCGCTCACCCCTTGTCACATATCCACGTCTCTGTGAGGACTGTTCCTCTTGCCCGTCTCTCAGTCCAGAAAATACCCACTTCCCCAGGTAGCCCCAGTTCCACTGCCAAGCCCCAGGGGACCCCAATCCTTCCTTCTCTTCCCTGTGCCTCCCCTGCCCTGCTGTGCTGCATCCTTCTCTTTGGTGGATTCGCATAGCACCCGGGAGGCACCAGCAGAGGATGCCTTGGACTGGACTGTAATCCCCAGTCACTCATCTGCAAAGCCTGTCCTGCAAGCTCCCAGAAGGCACTACTGATCCCTGCTCATCTGTGTCTGGCCAATGCCTAGCACGTGTCCAGACCCGATGTCGCGGACACCGGGCTCTTACCTTTTGATGACCTCATTCTCCACCATTGAGCTGTCTACCACGATGATCTGCTCCGGGATCCTGACGTCCTCGGAATTAAGGCCCAGAGAGAAGAGGGTCAGGACGGCCACACAACTTCCTCCAGGGCCGTCCAAGGCCACCATGTCATTTGTGGGCTCGTTATTATCCTGGTCTTTGAAAGAGAAATGATCAGGCTGGTCCAACTTGCTGGCAGCCTGCATTCTGTCCAAAAACTGGAATGACTCCTTGCAGATGGTGCTTGGAAACTGCCACGTAAAAATCCTACACAGACAAAAAGGAAGGGCCTGAGGGGTGGCCGTGGGAAGCCTTCATTTGGACAAGCTATGAGCACACCAAATCATTATGATGAGAACTAAGTGAAACGCCCCACTTCTCCCCTAAAGCTCTCTTTTCCATCCCAAATGAAGGCGCTGCGTTCCCAGCTAGTGGTGTGTGTGTCTCTCTCTTCCCCGCCTGCCTGAGCATCTTCCGGGCAGAGTCCTGTCTCATCTAACTCATTGTGGTCTCACCTGGCACTCCAGGAGGGCGCTGGCAGGCTTACCTTACCAGCGCTCACCGTGCACAGATGCTGAACTAGGGATGGTGAACATGCTTTCTGTAACAAGAGTCTCTGCACAAAGCCAGCCCTGGTCTCATATAGAAAGGAGGGGACATGTGTGCCTAAGGTCACTGTCTCCATGCAGTGCCTGGTGAGTCACTTCCCTGGCTTTGTCCAGAGAGCAGCATTCCACGACCCTGCTACCAGGGTTAAAGGGAGGGACCCAAGGGGCCTTCCTTGTTTGCTGACCACTATCATAGTTTCAGATGGGGACATCAGAGCAGTGGCTCCATGACAAATGGCCTTGTTGGACTTGGACATGTATCTTCTGCTGCTAAATCTACTTCCCAGAGGCCCAAGGGTCATTTGAGGTGAGGGTTTAGGGAGGAGAAAGTGTCTACCATCACGGGGAAGGGATGGGATCAGAGAACTGAAAGATTCTTGGTGTTGTCTCTGAGCATCTGACTACAGCCCCGTGCTGACTGGAGGGTAGGCAAGGAGAATGGCGTGAAGGGGAAACCGTCAAGGTGGCAGCTTGGGAATATTCTCAGGGGTTTCGTCTGCATGTGGTCAGGAGGCTGATGATGCCACACCTGCTGTCACATGAAGCCACATTGCAAGATCACTTCAGGAGGGGGTCTGTCTGAATGCACCTCTGCACCCCAACCCTGCACCAGCTGCTGGTGCTGCAAATGGGCCTGGGAGGCTTCCCGGGTCTCGGGGCTACGCAGAAGGGGGACTGAGGCTAAGCCCAACCAAGAGGGTGGACTTCCAGCCAGGCTACTTCTTAAACTGATTTCACACCACTTGATGAGAGAAACAAAAATAAACTACCTGCAAAAATGGCAATGCCACCAACACAAAGATAATACCAGCGCCCACCTTATCCCCACACCAGAAAGGAAGAGGGGGCTGGAGGAAACCCCAGCCTGCATCTTGTGCACGAGGCTTCGAGGGGTCCCGGCTCCTACACACTCTCATGGCCCTGGATGTTTCCATGGTTCCTCTTTAGAGACAGGGCGTGGCTCAACCTCAGAGTGCCCAGGGCTTCTGACAGGTACTCACCTGTAGTAGGTCTGGGACAGCTGGTAGGACATTGGCACGAAGGGCAGGGCCTGGTTCTTCTTGGGGCCCAGCATGTGGTTGACCTGGCACCGGTTGACCAAGCTCCTCTTCTTGCACTCCATGAAGGTCTTCACGAGAACACGGTCCTTGTACACCCAATAGAGGTGAAAAGTCTGCAACACAGCATGGCGAGGGTGAGTAGGGTTCTCCAGCCGGTCAGGGTATGTGGATGCAGAGGCTGTGACTGATACTTTACAGAGGAAGTGACAGACTGGGGGAGGCCCAGGCTGGCATGTGTGTGTGTTAGTGTGTATGTGTACGGGGTGGGGCTGAGGAAGTTCGCAATCCCAGGTCTCAGACCATCACGTTACACTTCCACAGACCACAAGGACAGGGAACTGATGAGACCAGGTTTATTCCCTTGAAAGCCGATTTCTTTTGGATACAAAGACAGAGGAATCAGCACAGAATCATCTGGTCGACCATGCTGTCCCTTGGTCTCCCACCCAGCCATCAGTACATCAGGTTGGCTCTACCTTCCAGTGCATCGGGTTTGTTCCACCTGCGCTGGCCCATCTAGTCCATGCCACCGCTGTTTCTCACCATCCCAGCTGACTGGTCTCCCTCCTTCCGCATGTCACCTCCGGCTAACCCCTCACCATTCTCCACAGCAGCCAAAATCATCCTTCGATGTCTAAATTGGAAAACACATTCCCCCCCTGCCTCAAGCCCCCCAAGGACTTCCCTCTGCAGATGCGACAGCAACCTGTCCTTTCCAAGGACAGGGGACACGGTGCGTGGGGCCCGCCCGCCTGCCACTCTGGCCTCGCCTCCCACAACACCACCCCTTGCTCACTGCCCTCCAGCCTCCTGGGCCTTCTTACATGTCTTGGAAAAGCCCAGGCATCCTTCCTCGGGCCTTCACCCTGCCACTCCCCTAAATCTTTGCAGGGCTGATTCCTCAACATTCAAGTCTCAGGCCAGATATTTCCCCTCAAATAACAAATTCTTCTCCACTCTCCTCTGTGGTCAACTGCCTCGTATTATCCTGTTTTATTTTTCTCCATAGCAGCTACCTGAAATGATCTCATCTGCTTATTCCTTGTTTAGAAGTCCCCGGAGAACACAGATTCAACTCTTTTTTTTTTTTTTTTTTTTTTTTCTTTTTTTTTTTTTCCCGGCGATCTCTTTTTTTTTTTTTTTTTTTTTTTTTTTTTGAGTCAGGGTCTCACTTTGTTGCCCAGGCTGGAGTATGGTAGCACCATCACGGCTCACTGCAGCCTCGACCTCTTGGCTCAAGCAATCCTCCTGCTTCAGCCTCCTGCGCCGCTGGGACTACAGGCACTATGTCTGATTAATTTTTGTATTTTTTGTAGATATGGAGTTTTGCCATGTTGCCCAGGCTGGTCTCGAACTCCTGGCATCACGCTATCATCCCACCTCAGCCTCCCAAAGTGCTGAGATTATAGGCGTGAGCCACCACGCCTGGCCTCGATTCAACTCTTGCTGCTGCTACCCAGTGCCAGGGCGGAAGGAGGTGCCTCTGCTGGACATGCCATGGTGACTTCATGGCTCAGCCTGCTAAGTCTCGTGGATCTGGGCCCCGCCTAGTGGAAGAGCAGCTCAAAGGACTGTGCGGTCAGCAGAGTCTCTATTCCTCCAAGCTTCTGAAAAGGACAAGCAACCAGCAGTTCCTGAGTATCGAGCATCTGCCAGCCTCTGAAAGAGCTCCTACAGGACTGTCTCCTCAAAAGCACTGGCCAAAAAAAATCCCTGTCATGGTCTAAGGATTTTAGGTGCTGCCCCAGGACCCTGAGTGCCAGAGGAGGCTGAGGCACATGGACTTTAAGTGGTCCTCCAAGGTCACACTGCTAGGCAGGAGTGGAACTGAGGAGAGAAGAGCAACCTCACTACTGCACCTTCCTTTCAGCGGAGGGACACAAGGGGACTGGGGACCAGCATGGTGGTCAGCTGGGGCTCTGGGGCAGCACTCAGGTGTTCCCCGGAGCTTGTCTGACTGAAGCTTGTGCAACTCTGCTTCCTCTAGACAGCACCTGTGCATCAGTCGTGGACATGCAGACCATTAGGATTAAGGGAAAACTCTTTCCATGTGGTGGACGGCAGAAGCTGGGAGAGGCCATTATAGCATCACCCCTCCCCAGAGCACTGGAGAGAAGCTGCAGCTCACTCCTCGTGACAAGCCTTCTGTGACTTTGCTCTTCTCTTCCATTTGAATGTAATTAGTGAATGGGTGCATTCTCATACAATGGGATAGGAGTGCTCAGGCCATATGTGGAGAATTGGGGGTGTGGTTTACCCACTCATATTTCCAACAGGCTGGGCTGCCACAGGCACAGTGAGCCAGACTGCGGCCTTCCATTGGCTTCCCAGAACCTTGAAATCCTCAGGGGCCTCGTGGGGTCCCCTATGGGGCTCTGACATTGCGGTTGGCCTTCCCGTCCTCACTTGGGAGCCACTGAAGAAGTCACTAAAGAAGTATCCTGCTTCCTGCTGGGGGAGGAAGGCCTCGCGGGCCAGGTGGTCTTTCTCAGGTGACTTTCCATGCCCCTGGGGGTCAAGGCAGAGTATCTAGGCCTTCGGTACTACATATCAGAGCCCAGATGCCACCTGGAGATGGAACTGGAGGAGGAAAAAGCAGTGGGATAATGCTGGGGACAGGCCTGGCTGGAAGAAGGGGGCTTGGCTTTTGCCATGGGGCTGGGCTTCCTGGTTTGGAGGTGGGGTACAGTGAAAAAGATCCCCCCCACCCTGCATAGCCAAGTCAATTCTAAGCAAAAAGAACAAAGCTGGAGGCATCACACTACCGGACTTC